ATACGCGCCCAGCGTGCTGACCACTAGATTACGAAGGCCTGCTAAGAAGGCGGAAAAAATATCTTATATACTCCCCGTTTTAAAGGGCGACTGGGGTTTAGGTGACCCAGTCACCAAATCCTGGGTATGGAAAATCATCTTCCAACACACTTTTAGTTTGGGGGCCACTGTAGAGATATTATGGATTTTTTAGAAGCAAGAGAGTTGAAAAATGAAAAACGCCTTCGCCGGGAATTGAATACGCGTCCAGCGTGCAGACTACCACACTACGAAGGCGTGCTAGTAAGGCGGGAGATATATTGTATATGAAGGCGGAAGATATATCTTATATTATTCTTAAATATCATTTTTAAAGCTATTGCGAAAGTTTAAAAATGAGATTTAAGAATGCCATCATATTTGCTTTGGATAAAAAAACATGATAAAAGTGCCAAAAATACTTTTAGAATACAGCAGCAAGAGAAACGCTGCTGTGACAGAGGAGAACCTGCTAATGCTGAGGCAAAAATAAAAGGGCACAGTGGTCATCGATACAAAGGGCGTGAAGAAATTTTGGAAAAAGTTAAGAAGATTGTGCTTTGCAAACGTACTTCATTAAGACGCCTAGCTGCTGCAGTGAGAGAGCACTGGCAATCAGGGCCGGCGGAAGCGGGCCTGCAAGACCTTCTTCGCAGGCGGGTGCCGAGCAAGAGAGGGGCGCCGACCAGCCAACGACACAGAGGTGTTTTTTTTTTTTTTATGCGAATGAATGTGCACTTATCGGGGAAGAAAGATAAATGTACCATGAATGCTACACAGGACAGGGACCATGAGCGTTTGCGCCCCCCTTACCTTTCCTCGCCAGCCCACACAAATACCTTGCCACCCAACCATCAGTCCATCAGTCGTTAGATACAGTGCCACACAAAGATGTTCGAGTTCCAAAAGTCGTGGGAATTCATTCTGTGAGTAAGTTTAATCTAGGTAATACCGTACACCAACTACACCCGCAGATATCGTGCACTACTCAAAATAACCCTTCTGAGCATCTAGTACCATATAATGGTCATTTTACATGTGTCTATAAAGCCACGTGTTATGTATCATCTACATATTCCTTCTGCGTATTTATTGAGTGGTTGGCTAAGAAAATTTTCGATGTAAAATAACCTTACTACTATTGGAAAAGAAACATCCATTTGATGAAGCACGTACTTATTTTATTTTACTTAATACAATTTCTATTTATCTTTATTTAATCGATTTTATTATATTTTTATTTAAAATGTGTACAGTGAAATACTGCTTCTTTTTTCCCTAGAAAATTTTTCTGAGGGCGGGAAGGAGGGGAATTGATTAGCCCTTTCTATAGCGACTAATTTGTCATTTCCCCATATGTAAGAATGAACACAGGTGCCAACTTTTCATTTTCTTCACGGGAGTTGGAGAGGGGGCAAGATTTTCATGGACGAAAATTCAAAGTCGTATAAAAGAGGATTTATTTTCCTCTTTCGTGGTTAAGCGGGTAGCATCGGTCTAAGTCCAAATTCTCAACGTTTATATAATTTATTTAATGACTAGACTCCCAATCAAGCATCTTGGTGTGTTCATGCACGTGTTTGCACAGAAAGGCAAAAGGGATGTAAAAAGCCGCTTGAGGAGCTTACCATTAAGCACGTAGGCAGGGGCCCCGAGGTAAAGAACTGAAGTTTTATATTCAGTTATTTTCGAACTTAAAAATCATATTGAAAATACTACTTATTATTTTTGTTAGTGTTGCTAATAACGAAACATCATTCTCCAAATTAAAATTTATCAAGATATATTTACGGTCAAATATATCGCAGGAAAGGCTCCTAAATCTAGCGTTGATTGACATTGAAAATGAAATTTGTCAAGAGATAGATGCAAAAGAAATTATAGAAAAATTTGTAAGTATGAAATGCAGAAAAATAAATTATTGTCGAAAAACTATTAAAAAAATCAACAAATGCTTTCTTAAAAACTTCCTTTTCCTATACAAAAATTTAAAAGGGGGGGGCGTGACTTCAGCTATTTTGCAGGCGGGCGCCGGATAACTTTGCGCCGGCGCTGCTGGCAGTGATGCAGAGAATAAAAAAGAACGTACGTTGAAGCGTCTTTCAAGTACCATAAAACCTGAAGTGCAAGATAAGAACACATGAAAAAAGCAGTGCTTCGCTTTTATAACGTGCTCCCGGAATTCATTACTTCTGCCAGAGAATTTATTAATGAGGCCCAATAGCAATAAATAAATTACAAATTAAATAACATGTATATATATAAAATCAAAGTTAAATAAATCTTTATGGTACTTACGTACTAATTATATTTATGCTTTGAAATTTATGACACAGCAAAAAGAAAAAAAAAAATTTAATCATTTCGATACAAATAATTTATGCAACTAGGACAACTGTTTCGATATGGAAGAAGCATTTTTTATGTCATGCCTTCAGAAACTCAAAATTTTCATTATGCATCCTGTCACATGCATTTTTGTGATATTTTGTTAGAATGCAAATGTTGGCATAATCGAATTAAATATAATGACACTTTGCATTACTTTTAAAAAGTAATTCTTATCCTTACTAAATACACCCTTTAAAAAATCTCCAAAACGGTATCTAGAATCACCTCACATCTGTGTTTCTGAAAATATTACTGTGTTCATGTTTGACAGCTAGTAATTTTTTTAATTCTGACTTAGAATATCTGTCAGATATCATTTGAATGTGTGCGATCATGGTCGAACAATTAGACGTATCGAGTCAGGCTAAAGTGTCACTCAGGTTCCCACAACAATAAGCGTTTCAACCTTGCGGCTAGAGATGGCTGCAAAAGGTGAAAGTGCTGTGCGAAAGTATGCTGGAGAAAATAGGAGAACCATCACATCTGAACAGGAAAGATATGTCACCAGAGTGATGAAAAGGAACAGAATGTTGGTCATATAGCCACAGAACAGGCTTCCATGCATTCCTGGCCAGACAGCCGTAGAGCTAGAGCCTGCCAATGCTACTAGTATTCATGTAAACTCGGCGTCTAGAGGATTTCTACGCTGACGACACACATTTAGGTGACTAAGTATTTATTCAGTTATTGATGGAGATACAGTGATGAGTATTTACAAATGAAAAAAAGGAGTCATAATTGAGAAGTTAACAGCTTCGCCATCTATTAATACGTCTTAGTCGAAAACATAACTGTTCTCTTTCGCTTCCATCGTCCATCCTTCGCCTCACTGCAATGCCGTTAGTTGTGTTGAGTTGTCGCGCTCCTGCTACTCACATTCATATGCATGGCATTCTGTTGCATGCATTCCCTATAAAGACATAATACTCGGGAAATATTACTTGGTGTAAGAAGCATATTCTTTAGGGTTAGCAATAAGAGTCATGTTGTCTGACGAAATCCGCTTCACTATTAAGAGGGTTTCTGCATACTAGCCAGGGTGGACCGAGAGCGAAGAATCAGCATTAGAATGTTCAGGAAACTGATGGATATCGACGAGGAGTGCATCGACGGAACTCTTCTTTATATCTTTGAAAGATTTATAGTGATATCCCATCGGTACTGCATCGAAATTTTCCTCGGTCAGTCCGTTTTTCTAGTCGCGCACATGGTCCCGACTTCGTTCATAGATGACTATTCTCACCCGTATTGGAAAATACTGAACGTATTATATGAACTGCATATTTTCCGGAGACCTGAATCCGATACAGCACGCCCGGGCAGATGAACTGTTTAAAGACAGTTTGGTTTGATTTAGTTGATTATGGCAACGCACACGAGGGCTATGTGCCCAAAGAGAAGGATGGCTTCGTAGAGAACTCTCTAAGGACGACTGGCTCGTATACACGTTACACATAGAGAAAACCACGAAAACGACCACCCGGACAGGCCTACCATGGTTCAGAGATTTTCCGCTCGGCCGCTGGAGGGCTGCTTAATGATAGAACACTTCTCAAATAGTACAGGAACTCAAAACCATCTGAAGAGACAAATAGGACAGGATTCCTCAAGCTGTCGTCCACAATTTAGAGGACAGCATACATAACAGATGGCAAATATGAATTATTGTTCAAGCAGGTCAAACTACGCACTGGCGGATGCATATCTGTCCTTATTTCAAGGAAAATGATTATTATCGTAACTGCTGAAATTCTTTTGTCAGTTTTTATGACGTTTTGCCCTGTGGCGATATCTGCACTATTTTGCATAACGATACTTCAGCACATCTATTAAAATATGCACTAGGGCTTATTTCTTTAAACAATGTCTTTCGTTAGTTATAATGTCAAGGAATGTATTAATGAGATTTTGATTGTCCGAAAATGTGAATAAAATGACTTTTAGTATTCATATTACTTCAAAAATCTCGAACCAGGTTTGAAAATATATCTGTCTAGCAATGATTTACTGTTCTGAAATGGCTTTCCTAAATATCAAGTGCTATGATTGGAGCGCAACTTGCACACTACATGGGACAGCCCTGACTATACAGTATTTCAAAAGCAGACTTCTGCAAATGCATACAAAACTCAATAAGCATACCGAGATCAGAAAACTAGAAGTATATAATCACTTTCTTTTATGCAAAACGCTAAAAGGGTTTTCTTGAAACATGGATTACTTTATAAATGCATTTCTTAGCACTCTGTTTCCGAGCCTTTTCACTCTTATGGAAACCTTATGACAATGTTCAAGCTCTAGGGAACTCCAGCGTCCGTGTAACAATATTTTTATAAACTATATTTAATGGAAACAAAAGAAATGACTATCCATTTAGTTACTTACTTAAAAATGGAATTACATGCAATTTGTATAATTCTAAACATAATTAGGTACAAATAAATAATAAATTTCTTTAGTAAAACAATTTATAAGAAATATTAATGTGAAAAATCTGCGCCTTTTTTTTTTTTTTTTTTTTTTTTTTTTTTTTTTTTGGAACATTATGAATTGCTGGATACTCACTTTCAATACAGAATTTATCCAGAACTGTATGTCATTAAATCTCATTTTCAACGAATCATCCAAGTGTAAGTCACAAAGTAGTTGTTCTTTTTAAGTTAGGTTCTGAGGATGAACGGATTCCTCACATAATCGTATAGTTAGTTCACACGGGATGAAAAATAATAATCGGTTTTCTTTGACAGTTCCTCAAGGTGGGATACAATAAAACTTGAAATCTGTTGATATCCATCATTATTTTTTAGTCCCACCAGAAGTTCAGACATATCAAGATTCCCTTTCACATCATCTTTCCAAAAGTTTAATTTTCGTTTATATCCAAGAACCTTTTCACTTGAAGTTAATATATTTTCTCTGTCTTGCAGTAACTTATCCAGTTGATTTAAGTAACATACATTTCTACTAAATAAGCTACCATCTGCACCCCTATTTGATTCTCAAAGCAGTTAGTAGAATCTTGCTTGTCGTTTTGTTGAAAATATGCATTTTTCCCTTTAGCTGAAAAGCCCTATTAAAAACTGCCTGTGCTTAACCACCAGGTTTAGTGTATAACAACAGATTTAGGTGCTCTTTATCTTTGTTTCCAAACAGTTTTAAAAATTCTGGAATGAAGTGGCTTTCATTTAATGAAGTTTACAATTTTTATATCATCATCAAATATCTTTTGTAGCTCATTAGCAACAGATTTTGACATCAACGCTTCTCTAGGAATTAAATAGCATGCGGAAAAAATAATGGCAATTTTTTTTCTTTTAGAACAGTAACAAAGCCTTTTATGGAGAAAACCATAGAAGGAGGGCAGTCCGTACAACTGCAAATACAATTCTTCCAAGAAAGATTTTTTTTCCAGGTACACAAATTATTAAATATATTTATTCCTCTGCTTGTTTTTACAAATTCTTTACAGCAGAGGAAGTTGGTTAAATCATGTACCTGAATTGAAAAATTACCATTTTTCAGTTTATCACACAAAACGTCTTCAACATCACGTTACATACGAGGTATGACACACACAAAAAAGAGACTAAGTGTGCAGTTTGAAAACAGAGTGGAGTTGTCAACAACTGTTTTGGTGACATCATGCTACACAGCTCCTCTATCCACGTAGCCAGTTTCGACTTAACCGACCACACCAGTGGGGAGTACTGCGTCATTGAGTGAACACGTGCCACTGCATTCTGCCGGAAAAATGTCTAATGCAAATTTCTTGTGAACCTTAAGAAATCAGCCACGGTCAAAGCATTTCAAATGTTACCAAGATTTACACGTGTGTTTGAATGGCATAAGCGGTTTTCAAGAAAAAGGGACAGTGTAGTGTAGATGATGATGAACATGCATCATGACTGAATAGGTTCCCAGTAGTCAGACTGTTAATCAATACTACTACATTGAAGTTGAAGTACTAAAAAGACTTCGTGAAAAAATTAAAAGAAAAAAGGCCATAGTTGTGAAGTGATGGATGGCTGTTGCACCAGGACAATGCACCCACTCACACGGCCTCAACTGTCAAACAGATTCTGATGAGCAAAAACACTACTGTGATGGGGCATCCTCCTAATTCACCTGATTTGGCTCCATGCGACTTTTTTTTATTTCCTAAAGTTAAATCTTACTTAGAAGGAACAACCCATTTTATCTCAGCTGAAGAGGTTCAGGCAAAAATGGAGAATCTCTTGAAGGGCTTTCCATAACCTTGTTCCAGAACTGTTACCAGCAATGGCAACATCGAATGCAGAGGTGTGTGAATGCTAAAGGGAACTACTTTGAAGGTGATCATGTCATGGAGTACTAATTCTCTAAGTACAATGATTTATCGGACCAGTCTTTTTTTTTTCCTTCATACCTTGTATCACAGATTCATAGACCATATTGTTCAAAAGTAGAATATTTTCAATTTTCCTTACTGTATCTTCTCCCACTGTCTTACCCACTACACTTTTACATGTGGGCATTATCAGTTTCTCCCTGACTGTGTGACTTTTACGTTTATGAGCAATATGTTCTGCTACCAAATAACTTGCTTCCTGAGGCTTTTCGCTATCTGTGAATGTCTTGACAAAAGCTATACCCTTGTTTATTCTAGATTTTAAAATAATCAAGTATTATTTTTCGTATCAGTATGGTTTGTTGTTAAATTTTTTCATTCAATTTTTTTCAGGCATATTCCAATTTTTTTTTTAAAACCATAAACGAGTTAGACTGTTAATGCTATACTGTTAGACTTGTGTTGCATGCATACCCTTGCAATGCCAATATACGGCTTAATGAAAATTGCTAAAGAATAAGCTCCAGTTTTTTTTTTAATTACCTTTTCATTGACTACAACTTTGTCACCGCTGCATTTACTCCCCCCCCCACACACACGAGTACAATATTGAATAAAGACAAAAAAATTATTTTCCCTTTTATAATGCACGTGTAATTTCCGTATTTCTTGCAGAGCCCGGGAAATGTTGCCTTAGCAGATGCATTACACACAAAGTCCGCTTGAATTTATTCAAGCATACTAAAATCTGTAATTAAAAAAAAATATTAGAATAAAAAAATCAAAAAAAGCAGCTGTTTATATGACATATGTTACTGTTGTTTATTAAACTACATTAAACTGATATCTTAATTTTTATCCTCAGTGTGATTCTTAAATGAAGGAATTCAGATATAAAATTTCTTGTGAATCCGTCTTTCTGCTGCTTGTTTAATTACAACCAATTCTGTTTTTCAGTAAGCCTCACTCCTGACTACGAGTTCCCAAAGAAATCTCAGCCAGCAGATGTGCCTGGAAGCTAAATTTTCAACAGCAGGAAATCTACAATAGTATGATGGCCAGCCTATGCTACAAAATGCTCTGTGAAAAACCTATCAACTTAATGTGCATTTGAATTTGAACTAATTTGCATTCCGTTTGAAGCTGATGAAAATAAATATCATGTTAAAGCCTAAATAATAACAAGAACAGGTTATTAAAAAAAACTTTATAAATTTCCAGGAAAGAAAAATGATAATTTTTCACAATTAATTTCAATCTAACATGGATCAAAAAGCATTTTTTTAAAACCCTATTTCAATTTTGAAGAAAAAAAATATTTAAAAATATGCCCAGTATTTATTTTTATTTTTGCAAGGACATTTTACCTAATTTCAATTTAACATGAAGGGGGGGGGATCACCTGGTTTTTTTTCTAGAATTTATTTTATCTAAGAGGGTTCAAATGGCAACTTTTCAGGAACAATTTCTGAATTCTAAAGAAATATTTCTAGTCAAGCGAAAATTTCTATAATTTATAATTATAATTGTCACTTTTATGATCACATTTTCAAAGCAGTTTTACTTTTAAAACTGGACTACATATATTATACATTTTCTGCACTAAAATTTCTAAACAAAAGTTACACTAAGCCATAAAAAGTATTTTCTCTTTATTGTATGAAATACAATGCCAAAATGTTTTTCAAGTGATGAAAATTATTCAAGTCTGAACATGTAAGCAGGTGAAACTTAATATCAGGTGAGAATAAAAAATATTTACATGAAAAAGCACAAGCAAGTCACTGGTTTGTAAACGCTTCAATTTTTTTTTTTTCTATTTTTTTTTTTTTTTTTTTTTTTTTAAAGGATGCTAACTGATATATTTATCTAATTTATGCTGATTTATAAAATGTAAAGAGTGTTTAGATAAACAAAAATCCTATAAAGAATTAATTATAGGCTTTGATATAATCTGAAAACCATTTTTATTTGTACTATGGTTTGTAACACATGAAACTTTTTTTTTTTTTTTTAATACACATTGTACTTTTCCTTTGCACATTTTTTGCAGGAGTTGTTTATCATGTTAAATCAGAATTGGATATATAATACTTTCCATAGAAAGTGTTTTTAACTTATAAATATTCTAAGAACATTTAAAAATTTCGTATTTTAATAAGTGCTTTTACAACATTCACTACGGAGGGGGGGGGGAAGAAAAAAATCTGAAAGCTTTCAGATTTTATATCATCCCCAAAGAGGCATTTTTAAAACATTTTGTGTGTTACTTTTATTCATCAAATATTATTTTCTTCGCACTTAAACCAGAAAATTCACAAAATATTTGTTTTTTAAATATGCTCTATATCTTTAGAATTTCCGATACGCAGTCTTGGCACGCTGGAGATAAAAATGTTTTTTCGTACAGTGTTGCCATTTCTTGCTTTAAAATCACTGAGTTTCTCAGTAAAACATTCATGAATGCTTTACAAAATATAAAATACATAATAAACCAAATTCCAAATTTGGAAAACCTTTCAGACGCACATAATCAGGTGAAGACGAGTGTTATTCAAAATTTGATGGCTCTAGGTACTGTTGTTTGATCACAATGTGAGAAACATACATATATTTAGGCAAATTCTTCATTATTTAATTTCTTTAAATATAATACAGGGCTCTAATATTTGGTGGCAACAATTTAAAAAGTGATTTGTTACTTATAGTGAATCAATGCAAAATGTCAAAACGAAATTAATAGGCCATCTGGGCAAATTGCCCCTTTAGGCTAAAAAACAACAGATCTTCATGAATTTTGAAAAGAAAATAATTAAAGTGACATTCTATGCAACCAAGAAAATGAGAAATCGATTTCAAATTCAATAAATACATGATTTATTTTTTACTTTTATTCAAACATTCATAATGCTTTACAACTGGAAGTAATAACATCTGATCAGTGATGATATATTTTAAATATTTATTGCTGAAAATAGTTGAACAATATTCCGTTGAAAATGAATAACATACATCAAAATTCTGGAACTGCAAGTCCTCTAAGAAAATGAATCAAATTATTTTGCCTAGTTACAACAGTGAATAAAAATAATATCCACACAAATAAAATGATCTAAAACATTTAAAATGGCACACATCATTCTTCTATGAGTATTTAATAATTACTTTTCAAATACCTGTAAAATTTAAAAATTGCTTCAAAATTGTAAAAGACATGCTTCAAAAAGTTAAGAAAAAATATAGATGACAAAAGATGATTAACACAGAAACTTTCCTGTATAACAGTTTTGACTTCAAATCACATTAAGGAATTTCATGCCACATTTCATTCAGTATAATGAAAATTTAATAAAATACTTGGCAACATATATATGATACATAACATATTCAATAGAGAAACAAAATAAAGCCATTATTCAAATAATTTTTGGAAATTTAACAGCTTTGAAACTGACTAGCAAAATTCATTAAAAATATCCTGAATCACTGCACATATTATGTGCTTAAAAATGAAGAAAATTTCAATGCCAAAAAGGCAAACTGTTTGTTGCCAAGATTCTATGTAATACCATCTATTCTTCCATTTTCATTTTTAGCTTAAAAACCACATAGGCTTACTTTATAAGTTGTAGGCACAACATTCCAAATTAAGGAAAGTTAATAAGACACCTAAAAGGCAAATGTTAACAATTATCCACAGCACCACTAAACATTTTTGTCTGCGATACATTTGGTATTTTAAAGTTTCATTTAGAATTAGAATCATGTACCATATAACACTGCATTTCACAACAAGCACAATGATAAGCACAATGCTACATCAAGAGAGTTTGGAAAACTATTTAAGTGCAAACATCTAGAGAAGTTGTAAGATAGGACAGGTAAAAGGGTATGAAATTTAACTGGAGTTGTGTCATGAACATGATTTTATTTCCAACATTTCACTTTACATAACTAAAAAAATAAATAAATAAAAATTTTGCTACAAGTAAAAACATAAATGGTATATCACAATATTTATAAGTTTTGATATATCTTCAAGTTTTCTAATATCAAATAATCAATAAAAGCCATATTTCAAATGAAAATCCTATTGTGTACATAAATAGTACCAAATTTCTATTGAAATAAGAGTATCAATAAAAGAGGAAAATACTTTTCTTGGTAACTACAACTTTACAAAGAAAACAAAACATGCTTTTTATAAATAATTGTACAAACAAAATTTAAAGTACTATTAACTGGATTTACACATGGGTTAAATATGTCGTATAAATTCCTAGAAAATGATGGAAATTCAAAAGAATTTACTACCAAAAAAATTTTTTTGCAACAATAATGCAATACATAAATGTAATATTTATTTTCAGAAATTCAATTTATAGCTCTTATGCCTTATAATATAAATCTGAAAAGTATTTACACAAAAGTTCAAATAAAGCATTTCTAACTTTCTTATGACCGGATGTGGGCAAGAAATTGTACAAGACACATAAGTATATTATGGGAAAGAAATTGGAAAACAGCAAACATAGCTTGGGACATACTATACAAACGATTTTACACAATAGCAATAAATATGAGTATTAATTTTCTGAAGTTAAGTGCAAGACTATTATATTATGTAAACAAAAGTGGCAAAAGAAATAAGAATTGTAGCTAAAAGTTCCAATAAATAAAATTTTTGCTTATATAAAAGCAAAGTTACATAACAGTTGGCTTTTTTTAATTGGAATTTTGACTGTTTTATGTGCATAGATGGTACAGAATAATGTACCTTTTTTTGCTAAATGATCTTGCTAAGTTTTGCAAAGATGCTAACATTAAATTTCTACATAAAGTGTACTGATGCCACAAGAACTACTTATTAAATCATACAAAGTAGCCATAAGCAAGTAAACATTAAAACGGTAGCAGAATGCATAAACCATAAATTAATTATTAAAAAAACATATTTGGTCAGCAAAAATATTCAAAACTATATGAATTAAAAGAAGTGGACCTGCCACATTAAGCACAAACTATGCATTTGTTTCATACAATTTGAAAAATAAAATTTACTTTTAATGATTTCATATTCAAAATTTAGAGAATTTCATAATTATTTGTAAGCTTAAATAAAATGAAATAATTTATATAAACTACAACCTGAATGCTGTATAAAATTTCGGAGATCCCAGTTCATGAGTGCACAGCACTAAAATTTTACAAATTAATGAACAGTGTTTAAAATTAATATTTTACAACATCTTACAGATTTTTCAAAAATACTCTTGAAGCTAGAAGAAAAAACTTTTCCCCTCCCTAAAATTTGACAAATTTCTTTAAAAAAACTTTTTCAAACAAAAAAACATATGAATGACATTAAACAATCAATATGGTGTCAGTGTATTTCCTTAAAAAAGACTTTTAATTTCAGAAAGAATTTCATATATATAATTTGTTTGAATATCACTTAAACTCATACAATAACACAACAACACCAATAAGATAAAAGCAATAATTTTATTAGAGGACTAGTTTTTGGTCAAAACATATGACTGAACCGAAACTTTTAAATCTGCACATGTTTAAAATGCTTTTTATTTGCTAAAAACATGTTTCATATTACTGGCCAAAGAGAGTCTATGGTAAATATATATTAATAATAAACAAGAGACATCACAATAAATTTAGGATACATATTTGAACTTTTCGAACACAGATGAACTACCTAAGTGTAATCATTCTTCACTTTTTTTAAAGGAAAATAGTTTACAGATTTAACATGCTATTACAGCATTATGCAGTACATAATACTAAATATAAAACTAAAAGTCTTTGGCATGGCTTCTTTTCTTTTTTGTAAAACCAAAATACAAACATAAGCATACTCCAGAAACTACATCTCGTTGGCATCTGTTTTTTCAATAGTAGTTCCCAATGAAAACTCCTGTACGAAAGAAATATTATTAATTCAGTATAGTTAAACAGAATTTTCCCTCACTTTATGTTATCAACAAGAACTGTTTCTCAAGAATGCTAATCCAAGCAAATTAAACTATTCGCTTTTTAAATTTTTGTTTCAGAAAAACATTTTTAAGTTTTCAGACTTCATTACATTTCCTGAAAGATGTAATGTTCCTGTACATATAATGAAACCACTAACCAGGATAACAACTTAATTTGTTAAAATTTATATTATGCATGTGTGTAAAATATAAAAAATATTATGGTTTTGCTCTGCATGAACAGGCAACCTATAATTAACTTTCTAATGATGCGCAGGAATTAATTTGGATAATAGACAAAAGGATACATACAAAAATAGCAATCTTTCTTGTCAAAACTGAAGAACTGTTATGCACATGCTTGCTAAAATTTCATGCATTCTGAAAATTTGGAAATTTCCATGACAGTAGTTTTTCTAAAATGTAAGTAAGATATTAGTAAACTATGCATACATTAAAATAATGTAAATTTCACTTATATGTGCCAGACCTTCACAGTCCCAACTTTTTTTAAGTCTCCTGACATTCAACAGAAAATTCAGCACAAGAATTTTAAGGAAGCCAATGAATTTTTGCTACAATTAAACCAGGGGTTTCCAACTCTGACCTATTTTCTTTTCTCACCAGCCATGCTTTCAATAAAAAATTTTTTAATTCGAGTTATAAATTCAGAATACAGCATAAAAATTGAATATTATGTCTTCCTTATTTACATGGTGTCTATATTCATTCTTTTTAAATCCACTGCAATAAGTCTCTGTCATGAGTCTTTTACTACTATTCCAGTCTACCAGTTTGAAACTGAAACATCCTGAGGTAAAACATATGCCTTCTAACACAATGACAATTCCCTCACCGCCAAAATTTAACTTTTTGCGGTCGTATGTCCACTCTCAGCCACCAAAGCCTTTTTACCATTCCGGTCGTATGTCTGCTCTCAGCCACCACAGCAAGGAACTATATGAATCATATACTGTATGTATTCATGTATCAGTTAACACTTTTTCTATATGAACCTCAATGCCTAAAGAACCTATTCACGAACCAATACAGTGCTCCATCGATTGCAGATAACGTAATCTAATCTAAACAAAAGTTGTGACCTAGCATTCACCATGCAAGATGCAGTGGCGAGTCAGTCTTCTTTTGAACATAGTGAAATCGACAATGTTCGACGATACCTTGTAGAATTCCAAAGAATATTTTATAAGTTGTATTTAGCAGTAATTACACATTCTCTCTTCTTAAAATATTCCAAAATAATTCCCCAAATTGGGGGAAAAAAAAATTGTGAAAGTGTTCGGTGAACTAAAAATAGTGATCGAGAGTTTTATTTTGGCCTCTTGAATACTGACTCTGATAGAGAAAGTGATAACAATTGCAGTGACTCTGATAGTGACATAGTTCCCGTGAAGCGACGAGTAAGGCAATTAACAATATCCAGCAACAGTGAAACAGAAGAAAATGATTAAAATGAGAATAGTAAACATAAATGAATTTACTACTTGGAGAGACGTTATGTACACAGATCAGCCACAATCAAAAACTAATTTTTCGACGGGATCGAAGACTGTTGAACCGAATGTACCCTTGAATTGCACGGAACCTTTCGACTTTTTAAAACTCTTCTTCACAGACACACTGCTTGAAAAAATTGTACTAGAGACAAATAAATATGCCCAAAATAAAATAGAAGAGCAGAGCTTATCAGCTCGATCAACGTGGAATAAGTGGAACAATGTGACGAAGGGGGAGTTAACAGCTTTTTTGGGTGTAGTCCTGAACATGGGTGCTTTTTTAGGTGTAATCCTGAAAATGGGTACTATACCAATTCCTAGCATGAAATATTATTGGACTAAGGATTATATTGAAAACATACCATTTTTTAGCGATATGTTTCGGAAGGAAAGATTTTTCCAAATATTTTGGATGTTACATCTGAATGAAAATGTTACCACAAATAGAAATGTATTAACAAGAATCCAAAAAGTGAGCAACGTTCTGGATTATATTGGTGACAAATTCCAAGCGTATTTTACACCAGATAGAGAAATATCCATCGATGAGTCTGTTGTGAAATTCAAGGGCAAAATTAGCTTTATTACATATAATCCTAAAAAGCCCGATTTATGTATTGTCAGACACACATACAGGATACATATATGCTATGCTTCCCTACTATGGAAGCGTTACTACAGACATTCTCATCCGTCCAGACCTCCCTGTCACTTCCAAGGATTGTCTTACAATTGCATCACATGCTGTTGACCGCAAATCCCGAGGCAAAGGGATACTACATCTTTACGGTATATTTTACATGGATTCCATTAGCTCAGGAGCTTCTAAAACTAAGTTGTTATTTAACTGGTACAATTAACACAAACAGGAAATATGTACCAGCTGTGATTAAAAAAAACCAGCTGTAACAAAAAATAATACTGTCGCTGCCTACCGATCAGGCGATATTCTATTGTTAGTGTGGAAAGATAAAAGAATAGTCACCATACTAAGCAGTTATGATACATCGGGCACAACAATTACAGAAAGAAGGAAGAAACAAGCTGGGACCATCAACATTATCAAACCAAACATTATTATAAATTATAATATGAATATGGGAGGTGTGGAAGAAATGAATATGGGAGGTGTGGATAAGGCTGACCAATTAGCAAGTTTATATTGTTTTATGAGAAAATCGTGCAAATGGTGGTAAAACATTTTTTTTTTTTTTTTCTTTCCTGGGGAATTAGAGGTTTGTGCAATAAATAGTTACATTTTATATAAGGTGTCAGCTAGAAGAGAGAACAGGACACCTATGCCACATTTTATGTTCGTCCGAAAATTGGTGGCACAACTGGTAAGTGATTTTTGTGACGGAGCAGATTCAAAACCAGGAAGACCATCGACCTCCTATAAGGAAGAAAAACTTAATGGAAAACTGCATATATTGCGGCATCATGAAAATGTAAAAAGTAAAGATTGTAGTGTATTGTAACAGCTTTACATATTATTAAAATCTTGTAGTTTAAATAATTTAAATAGATGAACATTAAGGTATTTGTTAATGGCAATATTTGAAACCAGACTCGAGTGCCACGTGCGACTCTCGCACGAAGAATGTAATTTATTTTTAAATGTTAGAATATGTTTTCTCTTCTTGTTTGTATGTCGCCATTTTTTTAATGTTAAATATAGTTTTTTCTGTGTTCCATCATTGGAGTTACTTCATTTGCCAAGAATTATCACAGTCATAATTATTTTGGAGGCACCGACCTAGATCGAATAATCGTGCGTATTTTTATTTTATTTGTTCATCATTGAAAGTAATATTAGTGATACCAGATTATTATTTCCTGTTAATTTTGAATTGTCTTATTTTATTAGTTCATGAGGGAAAGTAATTTTACTGATACTAGGTTATTAATTCCTGTTAATATTGAATTGCTTTATTCTATTAGTTCATCACTGAACGTAATATTAGTAATACCAGGTTATTACTTCCAGATGATATTGAATTGCCTTACTTTATTAATTCATCACTGAACGTAACATTAATGATACCAGGTTATTGCTTCATGTTAACATTGAATTGCCTAATTTTATTAGTTCATCACTGAACGTAATATTAGTGATATCAAGTAATTACTTCCTGTTAACATTGAATTGCCTTGTTTAGTTCATCACTGAACTTAAAATTAGTGATACCAGGTTAATGCCGTCTCTGCTAGAGCTCAAAGGAAAAGAGAAATATCTAAAAGCGATGAAGAGAAGATGAAGGAAGAAAATTGAGCAACCAGAGATATCTTTGAAGAAGTTAAATCACCGGAATTAAGCGTGAAAGATTTTCAAGAAAATTTGAAAAACGATAAAGAAATTAATATTGAGAATCATTTTGCAATGCAGCGTTATCATCATCTTTCGGCTTTTGATTTAATATCAAAGCCGCTGCTAATAGACGAAGAAAACAATTGTTGAAAGCAAATGACAACTGAATATTATCCGAAAGGCACCGATGAGCTGAGGAAAGGCTTTGCTGTGAATTATAGCCGAGGAACTGGTCCACTATGGAAGAGATCTAGGTGCCGTCAAGAAAAAAAAGGAAGACTAAATCATTCTCCATTTTTTTCTATTTAAATGTGGTGTAAAAGTATTTGTTGAAAACTTAAAATTTTGGTTTAAAGTTTAGAACTTATGGGAGAAATTACCTCTTCTTAAAATAATTCAGAATGCCAAGCTTATAAACCTTCGAATTTTACAGAACTTTTCCCTTCAGTAAAAGTCTCTCCGTTGGGGGAGAGGTTGTAACAGCTTTACATATTATTAAAATCTTGTAGTTTAAATAATTTAATATGAAATAGAAAATTATTGCAAAGAATGGGTGATTGGTCTAGGAGTTAAGACTTTTGATGAGTTGCTAGATTTGATGGTGCTTGACCAACTTAAACGTCGAGTTCCTCCTGAAATTCAAGATCATTTTCTTGATGAATGGGTAGAGATGATTTCATCTAAAAAATTAGCTGAAAAACTTGATGCCTATGAAAACGTTTGCGGAAACCAAAAGGCCTGTAGTGGATCGGCAGAAAAATACTAACTCAAGGTAATTGAGTTCAGATATAAAAAAAATGAAAAAAACATCATTAATTCGCAAGCTGTTTATAGATAGAATCACGTCCAGATGATAAATGAAACGCGCCATCTGTGATTGATGCTTTCTTACAGATTTTCAGTCGTATGGGTTTCCCAAAAGTGATCCAAACAGATCAGGGGACCTCTTTCGTCAGTGCTTTGACAGAGGAATTTTTGGAGCGAGCGTTTCGGCATTAAACATGTAAGAAGCTCTGTGTATCATCCGCAGAGTAATCCCGTTGAGCGATTCCATAGAACGCTAAAAAGGGTGTTAAGAGTCGTATGTATAGGAGCGACTTCGGATTGGGAGAATTAT